AAAGTCAGAAGTCAGGAGCTAAAAATCAAACTGTTTTTGCTAAGTAACTGCCAAGAACTCTGTTTTTGTAACTTGCTATAAACCAACTTGAATTTAGTGAAGGTGATCACTAAATTATCATGATTTTCTTGGAAACTAAGCTATGGTTCTCAACCAGGGGTGATTTCGATCCCTCAGGGACATATGGCAATGTCTGAAGGCATTTTTTGCATGGCCTGGGTACTACTGGCATTCAGAGGGTAGAGAGTGGGGATGTTGCTAAATATCCTACAATACAAAGGACAGCCCTGTACCACAAAGAATTATATGAGTCTGATTGTCCATAGTGCTGACATTGAGGAAGCTGGCAAGAGAGGATTTCATCAAAATTCTACAAGGACAATATGAATTAGCAAGGAGTTTAAATCATAACCTTTTCTTTACTGAAATTTTGTGCTGTAATAATCCAAATCAATGCGTAGCAAGGGCTATCAGCAATGACCCAGTTAGAATCACTTTAGGAGCATGTTATTGCTGTGTACTAGTGTGCTGCTATGTGCTTCAAAATAATTTGTTCTGTTAGGTAGGTTAAAAGTTGCCCCTGTGATTATGTTGAGGCCTTCTGTTCAATTATTTACTCTGCATTCACCAACTAAGCATCTGCCATATAGTAGGCCTCAGGGATACAGTGAATAAAAGTAATGATAACTACAACAAGAAAAAGAAAAAGCAGTCACAAACAAAACCCACAGACTCTAGCCTCAAGGAATTTATATAGCCCAGAGTGGAGACAAGTAAACAGACAATTTAAAAGCCTGTGAGGTAACTACCAGGAAAGATACAGGCACAGGTGTGTGGCCCAATTAACACAAGGGAATGAGGGACAAAGGGAAAATGTTTCCTCAAAGAGATGGTACCAAAGCTGAGTCTTGAAGGAGAAGCAAGAGTAAGTATGTTGGCAACTGGAGCTTGGGAGGATGGAGGTATTGGGATTAAAAATGCTGTCTATGTTTCTCGCACCAACAATGATAAAAGTAATAATAATAAGTAACATAAGTGGAGCCAAAACTAGGAGCTAGACACTATTCTAAGAACTTTGCCTATAGTAATTTGGGTAATCCTCACAGAAACCATATGAGGCAGGAACTATATTTAGTCTCATTTATAGATGAGGAGGCTGAGGCACAGGTGTAGCTGAAGTCCAAGGTCACACAGCTAATGACTGGCAGTTGGGATTTAAAATTCACTGAACTCTGAACCACTACTTTATACTATTTGAAGAGCCAGAAGATATGACTATTATCTTTAACAAGGGCTGTTATGTTAGCCAAGAGACTTACTCAGAATTAATCTAAGAGGCAGAGTAGACCTACTGAGTGGAAGTCACATGCCTAGTAATCCATGCTTTTAGGATGAAGACCAATTTTCTAACCATGGATTACAAAGCCCTGCCCATCAGGAGCTCACATACAGATTTCTCTCTACCTTAATCCTGCTTAATTTGCATCTTGGTAAAGGCAGCCCTTTCTGTTGTTTTTGGAGCTAGATGATATCCACTTGGTTTTCTCTCTTCCTTCCTGTGATCTAGAAGGGCAGACCACTCTCTCCATCCTGACCCAAGCCAGTTTTCAACATAGGAGAATTCCCAGTTGAAGCTAGAGTCCTCCAACAATGCCCTGGAGTACCCTCCTCACTACTAAGGGATGGAACCACTGAAGAACACACTTTGAACATGATCCGTTCCGCAGTAAACCCCCATGCAATGTTTTCACACACTCTCTACCAAGATATGGGAAAGTATCAGATGCTGTGGAAGATCCAGATAAACAGCCTCTAACACACCTCTGACCCACCCATCTACTGACATCACCTAGAGGAGAGTTCTCTTTAGAATGAGAAATGTTCCAGAGTCAACTAAGCTCTCTGACCCTGAAGATATTTAGTTTCTTCCAGCTTTCAGAGACTATAATTCTAAACTTCATGACTCATAAGAAGATAGATAGCACATTGGGGCTCCTGGGTGGCTCAGTCAGTTAAGCATCTACCTTCGGCTTCAGGTGGTGATCCCAGGGTCCTGGGAGGGAGCCCCGGTGTTGGGCTCCCTGTTCAGAAGGGAAGGGAGCCTGCTTCTCTGTCTTTCTGTCTTCCTCTCCCCTTCCCCACCAACTTGTGTTCTTTTTCTCTCTCAGATAAATAAATAAAATCTTAAAAAAAAAAAAAAAAAGATGGCACATTAGTTCAGAACACATAACTGAGCCTGTGACTTTGAGCAAGTCCTTTATACTCTGAGCCTCAGGAATAATAACAGTAATAATAATATCATCTCATCTCACTGGGTCACATGAGGTAATGCAGGTAAATTACTTAGCAAATACCTGGTACACAGAACATTCAATACTCAATAACTGTTTGCTTTTATTATTACTAGATTATAAAGAAAGAAAAAAGCCGTTTGTAGAAAAATTACTATGTGTTTGTGGATGCAGAGAAAACAGTCAAAGGTCATACACCAAATTTTTCCTGGGGTATGAAGGAAATCTCATAGTTTACACACATATAAGTTTCAAAACAATTTACTTCTGGCCTGTATCTTTTATAAGTTTTTTAAAAATAAGAATAATAAAAACAAAGATGGCTATTTTTTACTTTTACGTTCAAAAACTTCACTCCCTATCAACATTTCTAATTTGAAAAGGAGACAGGGAAGGGACAACACTCCTAAACTGCCTGAGTTAGGAGTCTAAGGCCCCATAATGAGGGAGCTATATTTAGTTAGAGGGCTGGACCCTGACCTTCACAGTGAAAAATGGATTCCATCAAAGCAGCAAGACTGCCCAAGCCTATGCGTCTGATCTGGGCAGTACATCTCTTTGAAAAGCAATTGTTTTTTCCAAACATTTGACTGGTCTGTGTCACACCTTGTCCGACATCTAAGTTTTGAGGATTACTTCAAAAAAATAAAAAGCCTCATATCTAAATCACCAGATAAAAGTCTGGCTTGCTTCTTTACCAAGAGGGAGAAAAGAAAAAGAAAGCAAACTAAGAGATGCAATCCCATAAACTATTATGTTTTAAAGATAATTCTTAGTGTCCAGGGAAATGAGCGTCAAGCATAAGGTTAGAGGAAGTTTCTCGGGAGGCCGCTGCCTCAGACCTCAGGCCTGTCCTACCCCAACTAATTTTAACTTGGCTGCCATGCCAATTCAGTCAGCTCAGAGCCTGTGCCCTCCACACACCAAGTCATTCTCAGCGTTTGTGATTCCTTAAGCAACACAGGATGAGGATCGGTGCAACTGTCTACTGCAGCCCACAAATGAGCGTTCTCTTCCGCAGGGCAGCAACTACTCTGAACAACATCTAGAAATTGTGAACTCTCCCCTCTGTGCTGTGTTCTTGGTCCTATAGCTTCTCAACAATTGCCACATGCCGTTGGGCTAGAATTCCGGTCTGACTGATCTTGGTGTGTTTTGTGTCTGGCCCAGAGAAGTGACTCAATAGTAAGTAAGCCAAAGATCGGCAAACCAACCTAAGAAACCACCCAGGCAGCCGGGGTGGCTCAGCGGTTTAGTGCCTGCCTTCGGCCCAGGGCGTGATCCTGGAGACCCGGGATCAGGTCTTGCTTCTGGTTCCCTGCGTGAAGCCTGCTTCTCCCTCTGCCTGTATCTCAGTCTCTGTGGGTGTCTCATAAATAAATAAATAAAATCTTAAAAAAAAAAAAAAGTCTGAGTATCCAGACATTAAAAAAAAAAAAAAAGAGAGAGAGAGAGAAAGAAACCACCCTATTTGGCCTTTCCCACACCCTCCAAGTTTGGATATCTCTTTGCCCCAGGCCAGCGTGTACTTTCCCTCCGTAATGGCAAGCGAGTTCCCTTATAAAGTGTGAGGTTGGCTTTTTCTTCAAAGATGCACAGAATCAGCAAGATCTAGAATATCGCCAACCTGTAAAAGCGGGAGAAGCATTTCTTAAAGGGTACACTACAAGAAGAGGTGGTTTCTAGTAAAGCAGGTGTCGTGTGCACCAGAAGCGGGTGGAATCTTTTATGACACGGAACCCTTTTGATTTTAAGATCTGGTATTGAGAAGGCCTTTAATAACAGGCTGAGACCACGGGCTAGGAAGTGAAGGGGACAAAAGCGGCCACGCCTGACAACTCCTGGAGGAGAAAAGCAAGAGAATGCGCGTGTCCTCCTCAGAGTCAGGGCAGGAGGTGCGCCTCCAGGAAGCACCCACCCCCTTGCTCCCTGAGCTCCTCTTCCTCATACGATGCAGCAGGCACCAGCCTTCTTAGGTGCCCTTTTAACACTAATACCCCCAAGAATGCAGATTTCGAATCCACACCCAGGTCACCCAAGTCTCTCAGGGCGGTGCCTGTTCCTGCCAGCCAGGCGATAGGGTTACACCACTTCTCTCTTATTTTTATTTTTTATTTATTTTTAATATTTTTAATTTATATATTCATGAGAGCCCCACCCACCACCACCCGAGAGAGAGAGAGGCAGAGATTCAGGCAGAGGGAGAAGCAGGCTCCATGCAGGGAGCCCGACGTGGGGACTCGATCCTGGGTCTCCAGGGTCACGCCCTGGGCCCAAGGCAGGTGCTACGCCGCTGAGCCACCCGGGGATCCCGCCCTTATTTTTAAAAGACTGGGGCGCTGCAAATATCTACAACCATCAGGGCACAATCAAAAAAAATTAATTAATTAAAAATAAATTAATTAAAAAAAATCTTTTGCATTGCTTGTCCGAAGCTGGCAAAATCGCCTCACCCCTGGGAGTCCCCACACGTCTCCGCCCGAGGCACGGGGAGGTAGCAGAGACCTCCCCCCGCCCCGGACCCCCACCCCCCACCCTGCACCCCGATTGCTACGGCCTCGCCCCGGCAAGTTTCCACCGGCCTGACCGCTTGCACTTGCCAGGGCGGAGGCCGCTGGGGAGCGCTTGCAGAGGCCGGGGTGCCGTCCGCCCCGAGCCCCACGGCCTCGCCCCCGATGGGTGCCCCGGGAGGGGGGGTACCCCACTTACCCCACAACGGAAATCATCATGGCAGCTACCACCAGGTAGTTGGTCTGATAATAGAGCAGGTTGCTCACGACGCGGTTGTTCCATTTGGAAATGTCCCTGAAGTCCGGCCGGGCAAAGCGGTCAGAGCCGGGGAAGAAATCGTCCCAGGCGCGGAGCGGGGCGAAATTCACGTCCATGTCTCTCGTCTCTGCGCTCAGCTTCTTGTTCCGACCCCCTCTGGAATCCGGCGGCGGCGGCGGCGGCAACCGATCAGCTGAGCTGGGTTAGAAGTGACAGCGGCTCGGGCTCAGCCGGCTCTGCGGTTGGTGAGCAGCCGAGCGAAGGAAATTGGGAGCGGGCGGGCGTTTTTTTTCTTTTTCTTCTCTCTCTCTCTCTCTCTCTCTCTCTCTCTCTCTCTCTCTTTCTTTTTCCTCTCCTCGACTTCCTGATTGGCTCTAAGAGGTTGGTTACAGGAAAAGTGTGGCCTCGCGACAGAGCAAGGGGCAGAGTGCAAAATTGAGATGAAAAGACCGAAAGAGACCAGCGGAAATCCCCAGTGACAAGCGAGATGGCAATGCCTTCCCTGGCAGTCGGAATACACACAGCCTCCTTTAAAATACCCCCCTTTTGAGTGTCCAACCTAATGTGCTCCGGACTTAAGGGCACTTTTTTTTTTTTTTTTTGCAGCTGTTCGGATGCCAATCTAAGTGAAATGGAATGGAAGGCAACTATAGTGTTACTGGAAGATGAGCTGGTTTTGAAAAACTAAGCAGTTACTAACCTCTGCACATCTGAAGGCAATTTTCATGTTTTCTGTTGCACCATGAGTCACTTTGAGTGAAATCAGATTGGCAAAATGGGAAAGAAAGGACGTGGAGAATGGAAAGGCTGACTTGTTCGTTCACTTCTTTTTTGTTCTGCATCTCTGTCTTCTCGGGACAAAATTATTGAACTACTGTGCTATTCTGATGCAATGGGAACTCTAGTCTACATCAGCCTTGAGCTGCAATATTGTTCACATTAGAAAGCAAAGAATGGTCTGCAGTGACCAATGGTGTAGAGCGATTGCTTACAGTTAGATATTATTGCTACTGTTATTAATAATAGTACAGGCCATGATTTGTCTGTATGGTATTAATAATAGTGCTTTAACCTAATTTGTTTTCTGTGCTTTATAATGAGCACCCACTGACTTCTCTCTATGTTGTTGCAATTTTACTGTTGTGGTTGTATCTGAGTAGACTTGATAAGGAACAAAGAGGCTGAAAATTTCAGTATGATCCCAACAGATATTTTGAGTTCCTTCAAGGCTATATGGAAGCCCTGTGGGGGATAAAACAAAACAAAACAAAACAACAGAAGAGTGCAGCCTTTCCCTGCCTTCAAGGATTTTGCAATGCAGTGGAAACACTAACTTAAATATATTACAGTAAGAGGTGTGCTAGGTAGAGATGTGCCAGACCCTAGTGCTCAGTTACAGGAAGTTAGAGGGTGTGGAAGAGTTCCCTGGGGCTTAAGAATTTCAAGAAGCAGCACTGTGGGCAAGCTGAGAAAATGATCTTGGTCATGACCAGCAAACCAGCACCAGTAGGACCCCACACCTGTTGGAGACATCAGTGAGCATTAGGAGCTGTGACCAAGAACCTTGCAATTACTCAGGACTGCGTGACTATAAGCTGTCAGATATCTGTTAGTAATAATATGATTCCTCATTGATCATAGGCAATTGATATCCCGTAAACATTTGTTCTGTGTATTTTTACTTACTTGTTTAGAGGAAGCTGGCTGGCTCAGTTGGTAGAGCATGTGACTCTTAATCTCAGAGTCTTTAGTTCAAGCCCCACATTTGGCATGGAGTCTACTTAAAAAAAAAAAAAGAGTGAATTTATTTGTTTAAACCTCTAAAGAAGTTTAAAAATAAAGAAATGAAAAAAGCCAGAATAACTGTATTTAACATGATTTCCTTTTCCCTTTCTCACGAAATATTAACCATGCTTCTTTCTCTGGCTGCATATAAGAGACTTTTTTTTTCCCCCCACTACACATTTTTTTAATTTTATTTTTTTCCACTACACATTTCTATCTTTGTCAAAATAATTTTAAATAAAAATGGACACATCTGAAACCCTTACTTGATTTCAAGTACCCTTCAAAATGCTATTAGCAGCACTTTGTCACTATTCATTCAGGGAGTCAGATTCAATGTAGAGGCCTTCCTGCAGTTCTTATATCCACACTTGTGCTTCTAGATAGCCCCACCCTAAATATTTATCTGTCTGTATACAAACCATAGTGGATAGTCTAATAGTTTATGATATATTCCATCTGAAATGAAATAAATCTGTTGCATGTCTGTTAACTTTCCATGCTGGCAAGAGGAGGTAGCTATTTCTAATTGGTCAGTCTGAGCCAGTGGGAGTGACTGGTGTCATTTACCAAAACACCACCACAGGTCTCTGGGTGTTAGTCCCAAAGCACAAAGCACAAAGCTGAAGGGCTAGATGCCTTTGCAGGCCTCTTCATCATCCATCAGCACATTTCCCGGGGTCTCGGGTTCCTCCCTGTGAAATGGGTAGGTTTAGACTAGGCGATCTCTAAGGTTTTTATCTTCTGAAGGAACTGTGGTACTGCTTGTGGCCACTAATCAAAGTCTCCTGAAGGGTAGCATTGCTGGGGCCCTGCCCACATGAGCCTGTTTTTAAAAGCATGGGCTTAATCTCAGTGGTTTCTGTCTGCAGAGTAGTCTGGGGGAAAAAAAAAAAAAGGTTTCTGGGTCGATGTTGAGACATGTGACCTGAGAAAGTGGCTGGTATCTCCTGCTACGGACTGTGACTGTGAACTCTGTCTTCTCTCATTTACTGCCTGGCACTGACTTTCAGCTCAATGAGTGCTATTGAACTGAACCTGACTGGGTGATAATAAAGGACAAAGAGGAGACAATATCATAATTTATTAACAGCAGCTACATTTACTGAGTACCCATTGGGTTTTATGTACTCCATGTCAGTGGTTCTCAAGCTTTATTTTGCACAGAATCATCCAGGGCTTTGTAGAAGGTTGGGAATGGGGCCTGAAAACTTTCGTCTGCAGCAATTTCCTAAGTGATTCTAATAATACGGCTGATCAGGGATTCTATTTTGAGAACCACCCTATTTCATTCAATTCTCAGTCTTCCAAGGCAAATATTTTACAAATGAAGACCCAGCAGTGCCCAAGCATTGTTCATTAGTGGAGAGTTAAGGATTTAACTGTTCTTGCTGACTCTGATTCTAGATCTCATATTTTTTTCTGGCTACAAGAAAGGATATATGTATCTGTATGTGGATCCTTTGTACCAGTCATCCAGACACCCTCACCCACCTACACTTATATCTATCTATCTGTCTATCTATCTATCTATCTATCTATCCATGTCTTACCATGGAAGAAAATAGTCCAAGGTTTATCATTTATCCTCAGGTAGTAAGGTTATAGGTGTTCCAAAATAATTCTTTAATTTTTATGCTTTTTTTTTCTTCATACTTTTGTCTAGATATATATTTTTCCCCAGAAAAAAAAAAAGTGGCTTTTTGAAATTCAGTTTCATTTCTGTTGAACTTGTCTGACAGAATTATATGACATTAAAAGACTACCACTGATACTCACAAGGGAAGAAAATAATAATAATCTCTATAAACTGATTTAGATTTTATTCTTAAAGTGCGTACTCTTAAGCAAAAGTGTTTCCTGAAAAGTTAAGGGTGAAAATTACTCCCATGCTTTGCCTTCAGAGAGACGCTCTGCGGTATGAGGGTGGCTCCTCCAAGGAGTTTTTTTCATAGAATATACCATTTTTTATCATTATTTATTAGCACGTAAAGCAGCACGTATTAGCACGCAGTATATATATAAACGTACAATGTATTATGCGTGCATTTTCACGCAACGTAACATTATACACGGGATAAGATTTATGGAATTATGCAGAGTTAATCAGGATTATAATTATGAGAAGAGACTTTGAAGCCCATGGGAGCCTCGGCGCCGTCAGCCCCGCCCCTCCCCTCCCCTAGCCCCGCCCCTCCCCTCCCCTAGCCCCGCCCCTTTCCGGCTCTCCCAGCCGGCCCCGCCCCTCCGCCCCGCCCGCCGTGGAGGCACCTGGGAAGAGGCGGAGAACAATATGGCGGATGGCGAGGAGCCGTAAGTACTCGGGCTCTGCAGGCGTGCGGGGCCGGGCTGGGCTGTGAGAGAGCGCGGCGCTGGGCGGTCGCCGCCGCCACCCGGGGTCCCCCCCACCCCCCGCCCCGTCCCCTCGCCCCCCATCCCCTCGCGGCGCCCAATGTGTAGCGTGATGCTGACCCTTCTTTTATTCTCTCTTTCTTTTAGGGAGAAGAAAAGAAGGAGAATAGAGGAGCTGCTGGCTGAGAAGTTAGTGCTGCCGGGAGGCCGGGGTCCTCTCCGGGGACCCCCGCCTCCCCCCACCCCAGGCCTAGGGGACCAGCCGCAGCGGGCCCGGGGGGCTGGGAGGGGGGCACCCGGAGCGCAGGCCGCGCGGCCTCATCCCCTGACCCCCATCCCGGAGCCCCAGGGGCCCGGCGGGCCGCTCCTCGTCCCTCTCGGGCGGGCGCCGGGCCGGGGTCCACCGCAGCAGGCCCTGCACCGGCCGGCCGGGGTGCTCCTTGACCCAGAGGTCTTGCGGAAGGACCCTTGCGCCCCACCCCCTCCTCCACCCCAAATTGCCATAACCATGACCTTGTGAAAAGGCGGTCTTAAAACACGTGCAGCGGACACTAGGACGTTTTTTTGGCCTTTCGTAAACACTGAGGCAGTAGTATTAATTGCAAACTTTTTTATGAGAACTTTATGTGTGAGGTATTGCACTAAGCACTTCAATCATTTTCTTGCAAAATAATTGGCTCTTACCTTAAGAATGTTGACTCCAAAGAGCTTATTTTCTCCATTTATTACACACCCTTTTTTTTTTTTTTTTTTAATCAGATGCTCAGTTTTGTGCTGGTGAGACAGTGTTTTCCAACCTGGCCCACGCCACATAATTTTTCGTCTCCCTACATGGGAGGGGAAGCAGGTACTCTTGCAGTGGGTGTGGTGAGTTACTAATTTCTCTGCCAGTTCCCAGTAGCAGTGCTTTAAAGTCTTTACGTAGCTTCCTCAAAAAGTTTGATTTCAGTTGCAAAAGGATTGGAATGACGAGCTTAACTTCACATTCCTTCCCACCTTTCATTTCCTTCCCACTTTTGCTTAAAATGACAGTAAAAGGTTCGAATGCACACTATATGCCCGGTATTGTACTACGGCCTCAATGTGGATTATCTCTTTATCCTTGTCCTGACCTTACCAAGT